ACTTCTTCAATTGCACGTTCCATTTTTAATTGTGCACGATTTTCAGTATCTTCAACAGTAATCAATACATGTAATTTATCATTTAAATGTTCCCAATTTGGTTTACCACGATTTTGTTCTTCCTAATTATGTTTGAAGGAAAAAAATTTGTCAAATCAATCAATCAAATCAATGAAAAAAAACAACAACAAACCTTTTTTTTGTCACGCATTGAACCACGTCCACGTACCATAATTTTACAACCAGTTTCTTGTTCTAATTGTTTGGCTGTCATACCACGTGGTCCAAGTATTCTTCCAACAAAATTAAACTAGAATTTTGTAAATTAATTTTACTTTTAACAACCAAAAACAAAAAAAAACTTACATCAGGATGTTCATCAACAGGTACATAAACTTTTTCCATTTTATTTACAATTGAACTACCATCTGGTTCGGGTAATATTAATGGTTTATGTTCATCATTATTAATCTGAAATAATGAAGCTCGTACACGGGCAATTTCTGTTGATGTCGATGTCGATGTTGATGATAACAACAATGGATAAAAATTTGTATTAAACAGATAATACATTTGTGATTGAATCAATGGATTGATTGAGAGAGATAGAAAAAAAATAAAAGAAAATAAAAATGAAAGTTGCTGTTTGTGAGGATAATAATTTTGTTTTTTTGGAACGATCGATGATCAATTGATCAACAACAACAACAACAACAAAAAAGATTGATTGATTGATAATCGGTGTGGGGAGAAAAACAAGGGGAAATTTTTTTTTTCGCACAACATAAAATTCTTGTGATGATGATGATACGGTAAGATAATGAATGAATGAATGTGGATAACAAAAAAAAAATCATAAATCAATGCTGCCAATAATAACAACAACAACAACAACAAACAACAACAACAACAAAAGAAAGATGTTAAGTTTTTTGTTGTTGTTGTTGTTCGGTTATTTTTAACCCAAACAGTTATCAGTTCATTGATATATATGTTGTCCGATACACTGATAATAATAATAATGATTTATTGTTAATAATAACCGAATCAAACAACAACAACAACAACAACTAAACAACAACAACAACCAAACAACAACAACAACAAGCATGCATTGATATTTCAAAAAAAAAAGAAAAAACTTTATATCTTTCTTGATTACACACACAGAAAAAAACCGAAAAAATTTATATACCGTGTTTCGCAAAGAATTTCTTTCTTTTTGGTCTTTATTTTTCCCCTTTGATTGTCGATTTAGCTATTTTCTTTCTTTTCTTTTTTTGTATGAAATACTTTATTTTCATGTTTTTTTAAAAGTAAAGCTACCGGGTTTTGTTTCGTTTTTTTTTCTCCTACTGAATGTAAAATGATGATGTATGTATGTTCGTATATGTGCCAAATAATAAATCTTGAACAAAAAAAAATTCTCATTTTTCACATTTTAACCCGTTTTTCTCCCTGATGATGATGATGATGATGAAAAGAATCTTTGAATTTCATAGTTCTGTATTCTTGTGTGAAAGAATAAAATGACGACAACAACAAAAAAATCTCTAATCCTTTACTTTCTCTCTTTTACGGTGTCTCTCTGTGATTCTAATATTGATTGCATAGACATTTTTTTTATACAGTTTTGTCATCATCATATAATTGTCCTTTTCACTCAATTTACATAGTATGTTTAATGTTTGCAATGAAATGAATAGAATGAATAGAATGAAAAAAATATTCGTCATCAACGAGTTATTCAAGTGAATTAAAACAGCTAAAATAAACAGAATTTTTTTCACTTTTTCACTCGCTGGCAAACCACAATATTTTCTTGGTTGACAAAACAAAATGAATTTTTTTTTGTTTTTTTGGAAATAAAAAATGAAATCAACCACCCACACACACAATGGATGAAATCAAAAACAAAGGAAAGAAAAAATGAAATGAAATTCATTTTAGAAACAAAATTAAAAAACAGAAAACTTAAAAACAAAACAGAAAATGATAATCAATTAATCTTTTTCTCAATGATTTAAGATTGTTTTGTCTTCCTCGGAAAACTATAACTACAGAATTTGATAATTCATTCATTCTGTTCATTCTGTTTAGTTTATTTAGGGAAACACATGCAGAAAAGAGTTAATTATTCACATTTGTCATCATCATCATTGTTTCTGTTTCTTTTTTTTTGTTTCTTTTTGTTCATTTTAATTTCATTTTGAATGCAAAATGTAAAATTTTGCAAACACAGAATGCAGAAACACTTTGAATTTTTTTTTCTATTTTTTTTCGGTTGTTGATAATGTTGATGATGATAATCAATTCTGAATTTTGAAACAAATAAACTATTTTAACTTCTAACGATACTAATTCTATTTCTACCCAACCATTCTTTCTTTGCCCCTCCAGTCTGCAAAAATTCTTTTGTTTTGTCGCTTTTTTTCATTATTCATCATCATTGTTGCTTACATTGCACATTGAAAACAAATATTAAAAAAGAAAAGAAAAGAAAAATTCTTTACTTCACTATGGTCGTTGTTGTTGTTGTCGAAAAAAAAAGTTAATTAATCATATTCATTCCATTCATCATCATCATCATCAAGAAGAATGAAAAACGTCGAGACAAAAAAAATAAATAAAACAAATGGAGCGAAAGCGAGAAAAATAAACGCAAATCAGGCATATTCGGATTGCATAATAATGCAACAAAAACATTATGTAATAATGAAATTCATACGGGGGGAAATAAAGATTTTATCATTTTTTCGGGGGAAGTAAAGGGGGAGAGATATCGAAGAAAATTCAATCAATTTATTGATTTGATTGATTGATTGACATCGATATTTTCGATTATAAAGATTTTTGAAAAAAAAAATATAACACCAATATGCGTGTATGGTGTTAAAATGTTTGTTTGTTTGTGTGGTTTTTTTTTCTCTATTAGATTCTGTATTAGATTCTCTATTAGATTCTGTAGATTCTTAGTCAAACCGAGGAAAAAAATGTCGACATTTTTTTCTTGACTAACAACAACAACGATTCTTATATGATCGATGATGATGAATTAAATGTTTGAATTTGACATTTACACACACACACCAGAAAAGTGTTAAATTCAAGCAACGAGAACGAAAAAAAATGCTGAAACTTTTGCGAATCGTTGTCGACTTATAGCAATCTCAATCTCAGAAAAAAAGATTGAAAAAATCCTTTAGCCATGTGACAACATATTTTTCTCAAATTTTCATATTTTTTTTTCTCCCTTTCCAAAACTGACATCAGTTTTTTTCACACTTTTTTCTCTCTCACAATATTTTGACAAATGTCACATTTTTCAATGCAATTTTTTCATTCATTTTTTCGCACAAACATACATCAAAAATATGAAAATTTAAACATTTAGATCATTTTTCATTTTAGTTTGAATGAAAAACCCGTAAACAAAAAAGCCGGTTATTATTATCATTTTATTTTTTTTCCTCCGTTTAACCCGAGTTTAAAAGTTTTTTCACATAGTTTCATTATTTGTTTGTTTGTTTCACCTTGTTATTATCATCATCATTATTATCATTTTTCCCCCTTTTTTCCCCTTTGAAAAATCAATAATTATCTGTACTGATAATTATTAGATTTAGCAAAACAAAATTAATTGAATTGGAATCAAATTATCATCATTATTAATCGATCTGAAACAAGTAAACAATTTGCGGGGTTTTTTTTAATTTGCGGTTTCTCTCTCTCTCTCTCTCTCTCTCTCTTTAAGTAACAAAATCGTGATCAAAAACAATCAAAATTGTTGATTATAGCTATTCTCGATTACAATTATCGGTTATCGGGAAAAAAGTGGAAACAAAACAGAAAAGAAAAAAATCGATATTTATTAATTTTTGGTCACTAAAAATATCAATCAATCGATCGATCGATCCCCGAAACATAAAAAAAATCTAAAAATAACAACAAAAACCGTTGAGGAAAACAAATTGAACCCAAAAACAAATTGAAATTTAAACGATAATGACGGCTATGGCTATGGCGATGGCAATGGCGACTACGGCGAAGAAAAAACAACAAAAACATCAACATAGAAGATTAATATGAATTTTGTTGTTTTTGTTTCTTTTTCTCTCCTCTCACCGAAAACTTTTCAAACATCTTGTTTAACAAGACCCGAAAAACAAAAACGAAAAAACAAATTATATGCTAATCCAAAATCATTGAATGTTTTTTGTTTTTTGTTTTCTCCGAATATGAAAATATTGAATTTGAAATGAAAATAAAAATAAAAAATATTTTTTCCAGTTGGCCAGATGTTCTTTTCTTGTTTAAAAAAAAAGTTTTCGTAAGGTTTTTTTTATTTATTAATAAAAAAAATATTTGTAAAAGTTTTTGGTAAAAGCGAAACATTTTTTGTTTGTAATTTTTTGTTTCTCTCGATAAAACTAGCACGCAAACATGGGATATATGGAACACAAGAGGAAAAATTCAATTTTCACCTTTGACGATGATAACGTGTGTGTGTGTGTGTCAGGGGGAAGAAATTTCCCGAAAAGAAGAAGAAAAAGTTTTTCTGGAAAAATGTTTTCTTTTTGTTTTCCTACCGGTCGGTTTGTAATCAAAATAATTGTATTTATTACAATCATCATTATCTATTTAATGATATTTTTTGTTTTGTTTTTTGTTTCTGTTTGTTTCAGATACCCAGAAGAAAAAAAAGAATGTTATAAATTATGAATCTAGATTCTTAGAGAATCATCTATTCTTGATTGTTTGGAAAATTTTCAGTTTTTTTCTTTTTCAAACATGATCCGAATAATCATTATAATCGAAAGAAAAAAGAATGGAATATTCATTTCATTCGATTTGATTTTTTTTGATCTGCTTTGTTGTTTTTTTTCGAAGAAAAAGTACAAAAAAATCTTGGAAAATGTAATTTAGTAGATGAATGAATAAATGGCTGGCTGGTGTTTTAGTTTCTTCATTGATCTAAGGTAAAATATCATTTATGTTATGACATCCAATTAGATAAATCGAATCAAAAAAAAAAGACGGAGAAAAGAAAAAATATACCCAGAAGAAGAAATAATAATAAAGTCTGAAATGATGATTTCTGGTTTCATTTTCAAATTGGGTGGATTTTTATTTTTGCTGTTTGTTGATTTCTAATCTTTTTTCATTCATTTATTTATTTATTTCATCTTGTCTTTTTGGGAGGTTTATTTTCAAAAAACAGGAAGAAAACATACAAACAGAATCACTTTACCACGTTAAAAACAACCAACGAAAAAGTCATTAATGTTAATGATGATATAGGGAATTAACGAACAAATGAACGAAAAAACATGAGAATCAATGAGAATCAAAGATAGAAGATTCGTTGGGGGGAAAAATTATTACCGAAAAACTTTCCCTTTCACAAATTCTCAATTGGTCAATATAATGTTGTATCGATGAATGAATGAATGAATGTTTCCTTATGTGTGTTTTGCTTGCTTACTTGCTTGATTTGATTTGA